GCCAAAGAACTCTCCCTTATAAGGAATTAAAAAAAAAGAAAGAAAGAAAGAAAGTGGGGTGGGGAGGGTGGCAGAAAGCAGTTCAGCAAAACTAATCAACATGTCAGTCAAATCCAATGGTCCAGCAATGTTGTGTGTCCTAGGGGAAGAAGTCTTTATTGAACTAGGGATAGAAGTGATCACAAGATAAAACAGGTGATTTTGATCACATGAAATTGAAAAGTTTTGCACAAACAAAATCAACAGAGCTAGATTAAGAAGGAAACAGTTTTGTTCTTCACATTTATATAGTGCTTTAAGGTGTAAAAAATGTTTTACATTATTGTTATCAATTGAGCTTAACAACATCCCTGTGAGGAAGGTACCACAAGCCTCTTTACCTCATTTTATGGAGCAGGAACTGAGACTCAGAGGTTCCTTCTCTTTCCTTTCCATGTCACTAAGTTGACAAGCCTTGTTGGTTCTACCTCCATGACATCTCTCACTTATGTTCCCTTCTCTCTGCTTGTAAGGCATAACTCCCTTCTTTTTTTTGCTTTTTTTTTTTTTTGCTTTTTGGTAAGGCAATCAGGGTTAAGTGACTTGCCCACGGTCACACAACTAATGAGTGTCAAGTGTCTGAGATCAGATTTGAACTCAGGTCCTCCAGACTCCAAAGCCAGAGTGCTATGCACCGCGCCACCTCTCTGCCCCCATGGCTATTTTCTTAGTTCTGCTCTCGATCACTTGTGGCCTGGACTGTGACAATAGTTAACTACTCGGTCTCTCTTCAGTATCTTTCCTCTCCAATTCTCCCACAAACTGACAGATTTAATATTCCTAAGGTATAGATCTAACCAAGTTATTATCCTGCTCAAAAAGCTTCAGTGACTTCTTGTTACCTCTAAGATAGGGGGAGAGACTGGACATGTGACTTCAGGGACACTCCCTCCACCAATACAAGTTGCCTGGAGCATTGGAGACTTCTCTAGGGTCACACAGCCAGCGTGTCTAGAGGCAGGACCTGAACCCAGGGCTTCCTGGTTCACAGGCTAGCAATACTACAGCTGCCTTAATAAATAAGGATTTTNTAGAGGCAGGACCTGAACCCAGGGCTTCCTGGTTCACAGGCTAGCAATACTACAGCTGCCTCACCAC